CACCGGAGGTGGTATGCAACTGATGTGTGGCTACGAGGGGTAGTTGGAATATTCCATTGCTTTGTAGGTACACAAATCATTGCTGTGTAACACTTGGGAGAAATATAATACGAACATAAAACTGAAAATGAAAAATGTAAATTCTTTTGATTGGTAGTTTGTTAAGATATTGTCAATGGATTTATATTAATAATATTAGTGTTGTGAGTGACCCATTAAATTTTTTTGGCCAGAACACTGATCGCCCAGTCAATCTTTCCCTGGAATCTTCTACTTAGTTTCACCTACACACCGTCACCATACACATATACCAGTTTCAAATATCCTTCAGATCTCAGACAAAATTCTATACAACTCAACAATTTCCTGTTTCACATTCAGTCAACGACATCTGCTACTTCTCTCGGAACGTATCCAACCGATGTGACAGGAATGCTGCACAATCCCTTGAACAGTTGCCCTCGCTAGTCCAAGAGGCGAACAATCTCCATCTCAGTGTCTTCGTCTAAACGCTTTGACATAATAGCAATAATTGTTAAAAATCAGAAACTGCATTCAAAACTAAACTCTTCTCTCGAGGGCAATTTAGGTAATTTCATTATATGTTAAGGGCGTTTTTAAATATTTGTATCAACTAGGTTTATTATTTTCGCGAAACGTTCAAAATAGAATTTATTAAAATGAACAAGCAAATGTATGCATGAAATAATAAAGTGTCCGATATCAAAAATGAGTAAAACATGATTGTTTGACTGGACGCTCACACGTTGTACGTAATAGTTGAACCCATCTAAAACCCTGGGCCATTGTTTTGATTAACTTTCACGTCGGCGTGTCTGCAACTGTTTTGTGTCTACAACAGCCACTGGATCTTCTAGGAAAGTGTCTGGGGTTGTTGCGAAGTCCCTCGGTAATTACCTACCGGGTTCAGGAGTTAGGTGTATGTAAATATCTTGCGCTCGCTGTAAAAGTGACATATGTTTGTTGCTTATAATGGAAATAAATTTATCACTCTCACTACTGGTTCCAAAATTACTAATATGAATTTTTGCTTTGTTAAATAAATGCAGTCTATTCGACCTGTATGCTGGGAAATTCATAATAAACTGTTTTTCATCTTCAACTTTGTTTTCAATTTTGCTAATTCACAGTACATTGAACAAGAGCCCTCCTCTACATCTGCTTTTAATCACACTAGGATTTGCGATGACTCAAGGAACAGGAAATCATGTGAAAATGTGATTTTTGATTCACTTACAAGGTAGAAGGTGTACAAGTTTT